TAAAATTTCTCCTTAGGAAAAACATTGTGTAAAATAATGAAGTAGAAGATATGAGGTATACAGGATCCTATCATGGCAGAATGGAGCGTGAAGGACATTTCCTGTGTTGCTGGTGGTTTGGTACACGATTCGCCAGCCTGCACATGCACGCCATTCCCTCTGAAACCCCTTCCCTCCTCACAATGCCCCCTGCTCCACGTTGAAGACCAGCACCCTGACACATTGACCCCAAGATCTGAGGAGGAAAGAGGGAAAGATCAGAAGGAAGCCAGGAATCACAGAGGAAGAGGCAGCATGATTTAGGGACTTGAAAGTTTGGCTGCCGAAAACTGCCTCCTTTAATCCGCGGATGTCTCATAAAGGAGGAACTCGATAGTTCAAACAGGAGTGAAGAATGTTCTGTACACAGATGGATTTGGATATGATGATCTATTTTAAAAAGTCATTTGCTGGGTTACCCCAGCAGTGAGTGTTGGAATTGAATGCTGACACCTCCTTGAGTGTGAATTTGAAATTGAAAAACAGAGAAAACATAGATGTAGGCGGCCGCCTGGGCTACAGGCCCCTTCACTGCCCACTAAGGTCATGGGTCCTGCCTCATTTCCCCTTGTTTTTTGAGTCACTTTTCAGTGGTGACTCAGCCAGAACAACATCCTTTTAGGTCCACTGTCTTTTTGTAAAACCAATGAAAAGGCGTTATAGATTTTTGAGGGCTCAGACTACATACAGTTAGACAGTCAGAGATAAATAATAATGTTGCTACTAAGAAAAGTTTTTGTGCAGGGTTTTTGCTCTGGATAAATCTGTTCATCCACACAAGTCAAGCTCACTCTTCACTCATTTAGCCACTTACCCGTCAGCAAATGGGTATTGTGTGTCTGCCACAGGCCAGGCACTGAGCGCTGGATGTTCAGAGACAACGACTAAGGCTCCACCCGGGAAAGGCCCCCGGGTGGTTAGCCGTCCTTAGAAGCCAGCCAGCGCGGTGAGGACGGGTAGGAGGAGTGGGGCAGCTGGCATGCGGCGTCATGGGGCGGGTCACGGAGAACGAGCATTGCAGGCAAACCAGGAAGGCGTTCTCCTGGGCTAATTCTCAGAAGGATAGGTTGGCCAGAAGAAAGGAGAGGTAGAAGTCTAAGGAATAGGAAGAGTGAGGCAAAAACCAGACACTGAAGGAAATCAGAAATCCTGGGGAGCCATCAAAGGGGCATTAGGTAGGGGATACGACCTGTTGAGAGTCGTGCTTCGGAATCACCTTGGTGACCACGGAGATTGTGGGCCAGAAGGTGGACCTGGGAGCGGGGGGAGCAGGGGAGCGCTCCTGAGTCATGCAGTAAGTTCTAATGGGGGCCTGCATCAAGGCAGTAACAGCAGGAAGCAAGGGAGGGGACTGATTCACATGCTGTTGAGAAGGTAAAAACTTTCAGTACCGGTGCCTATTTGGATGTGTAGGGTGAGACACAGGAGGAGTCTGAAATGGCTCCCTGGCCTGGGTGGTGGGGGGTGCCTAGGTGAAAATAAAGTAGTGTTGTCCCCTGAAACGGGGAATGTTGGCAGGACAGATCGGGGGCATGGCGGGGGGAGGATCTTAAGTTCGGAGCATGCTCAGTCAGAGATGCCGATGAGTATCCAAGAGGAGATGTCTGTTGGCAGGTGGCTGTTCCAGGCTGGAGCACAGCAGAGATGTGTGGGCTGGAGAGGATATTTGGAATCATCAGCATATGTAGTTGTTGAAACCACTTATTCATTTAGTAAATAGTAGGGGCTGCAGTCAGAGCCGGCCTCACGGGTGTGCGACCTGCACGGTCCTGCAGGCCTCACTCTCAGAAGGGCCCCGTGATTGGTTGAATGCTTTGCTGTCAGCCGCTTAAAATTCTCATTACCGAGAGGTGCGGCATTTTTATTTTGCACTGGGCCCTGGAAATTGTGTAGGCAGTTCTGCTTACAATAGCCCAGCCCTGTGCATAGCAGTGGGGCTGCAGTGTTGAGCAAGACAAACATGGTTCTTGCCTTAGGAGTTAGCCAGCTAGTGTGGAAGGCAGACAGTAAGCCATCAAGAACAAAATATGACGGTTCTATGTTAGAAGTATCAGAGCAAGGGAGCATGTAGGCGAGAGCTCCAAACCTAATGTTAGAGGTGAAGGAGTTGAGAAATAAGATCGCGCAGGGGGAGGGGTTAGACAGATAAAACGGGAGCCCCTAGAGAAGTCTGAGAGGGAGTGTCCTTGGGGGTAAGAGGGAAACCAGAACACTATCCCTGACGCCAGGATTGGGACAGATTGTCAAATGCTGCAAAGGAGACTGTGGTTGTAAGAACGTGGTCATGCCCAGTGGAGATAGCAACCAAGAGGCCATTTGGTGACTCGCGAGAGCAGTCGGGTAAAGAGAGGGGCAAGAATGAATTTACCTCTGAGGGGTCCACGGGAGGTGAGGAAGCAGAGATCCTGAATGTACATCATTATTTATAAACCTTGTCTTAGTAGGAACAGGCTCTGAAAGTGGGTGTTGGATTAGGAGAGTCCCATCTCTTCTGTTTTTAATCCCGAAGTGCTTTGAGCATGGCGTTGAACTCTGGGCTGAGAGCCATAGAGAGAGAAGTTGGAAATAACCGATGGAGGGAAGAGCCTGAGGAGGGAAGTGCTGGATGGACTCGCTTTGGTTAGGAAGAGGAGAGGAAAAGATAGCTGAGGGAGCAGGTGCATTTTTGCGTGAAGGCCCCTCATGCCTCTGTGAAGTCTACCCACTTTACCTGTGTAAGTGAACCCCTGCTGCCTCTTCTCTCTTTTTGCCTCAAATTCAAGGAAGAGTTTCTCCTAAATTGTCTCATCTGTTCCCCCATTGAACAAATACTCATCGGGCTCATGCTGTGACAAGCACAGTGCCAAGCATTTGGAGTAGGAGAATGAATGAGACCTCCTGACACGTAGGTCCTGGAGGAGATGCTCCGCTGCCGATGTGTGTTGGCTCCTCCCCACAGGCCCTGGCTGATGGCACACCTGCCTTCTCCTGGATTTCTGACCTCCTTCTCTTCCTTCCTTTTTCGTTATCTTGTATTTCCTTCCTGGACATCCCCCTTTCCTAGTTCAAGCCTGGAAGCTGGAGTTCAGGGGCCACTAGAGAAAGGGAAGAAAAAGAGTTAAGACTAGCTTTAAGTAAAATTTTGAAGCAGAAGGTTGCCTTTGGCATTTATGACGTAAGGACTTTTGCTCTAGTCCCCCAGGCTCTCAGGACCCTTCTTGCTACTTTAAGAATAGACCCTAACCTAGACCTTCCTGTTTCTCCATCGTCTGTCAAAGTCCCTACTTGCTTATTGCAGTTATTCTCAACTGAAGATGAGGACAGACAAATTCAGCAAACTCACACTGATACATGAATGGCGGGTGCCACCTTTGGTGCAGGGACGGGGAGGGGGGTGATTGCATTTTACAAGTGGCTCTGGGTTTATAAGAAAGAATCTTTAATTTGTCCTGTTTCCGGCAGCATACTAAAAGAAGCGACACAAGTATCAAAGCAGGAGGCATCCTCTTTGCAGAGTCAGCTGCCTTAAATGTTTCCATTTTTTTCCCAGCTTCCACCATTGTTCTCCAAGATCCAAAATTCTTTCAAGTCACCAAGATTTTTGTTGTCATCTCTTCCCTTGCCTGCCTACCCCCTCCCCCCCCCCCCCCCAGATTCTATGACAGCAGCAACTGGGCGCAGGTGGTAAGCGGTTGGGGGAGGGGCCATGACAGCTGCAGCCTGTCGTTAGTGGGGTCGTTTCTCTGTCAGGAATTGCCTCTGCAGCGGGAAGGAGCTGCGCCAGGGGCGTCCATCCGGGCACAAAGAATGCAGCCTCTCCTAGAGTCGCTGAGGCATCGCCCAGAGCTGAGCTCATCATAGACGCGTCTGTGTTTGTGGGTCTTCACAGAAAAGTGTGTCAGGTCTCAGGTGCTGCCTGGTAACAGGGAGCTTTGGGTTAGAATAGAATGCAATTCCCCAGGCCGCTTCCATGTGTCATAGAAATGGCATCCTTCCACCATAACTGATCGATAGCTGGAAAGTGCCTGTCAGGAACCACTTTAACGACGAGGTCTAAGAACAGGAGGTCCCGCCGGGAATAGGCCTCAGAGAGGTTGCTCCACGGTTACTGATCCTGCAGCTTCTCCTTTAGACGTCTGCTTTGGGGGACTCTGTTCTCTCGAAAGTCCTTCAGTCAGCAGTAGCTCTGGGGCACATTTTTGGGAGCGTGTGAATTTCCTGAGCTTTGAGATGAGATGAGAGTGGATTTTCCCTGACCCAGGCTGTCACTCTAAAACTCAGGAGCCTTGGTCAGGCGTCCTCAGACTCTGAGGGGCCTACAGATCGCCTGGGGATCTTACTGCAATGCAGAGCCCGATGCAGTAAGTCCAGGGCGGCACCTGAGAGTCTGCATTTTAACAAGTTCCAAGGTGAGGCCAGTGCTACTGGCCCAGAGACACTACGTAACAGGGACCTGGAGCTGTACTGTCAACTGACCGCTTGAATGTAAAGCTAAATTAATGAAAATGAAATTAAAAAAATTCCATTTCTTAGCTGCCCTTATCGCAACTCAGATGCTCTGGACCCACACGTGGCTGCCATATAGGACGGCACAGGTTAAAACACTCCTGTTGCCACAGAAAGTTCTGTTGGAGAACACTAGTCTCAAGCGAGCCTGTGTTGCATCCTTCATTTATTAGTCTTTTTATTCACTGAAAATCTGTTACGTGCCAGGTAGTGTGCCTGGAGCTGGGCATTAAGCAAGGGTCCAGGGAGCAGAAAAAGTACACGTAAGCTCACTAGAACGTGATGTTTTTAAAGTGCAGACGACACCGGCGATGGGGTGGGCACCCAGAGTTGGCAGCAGTGAACTCTGCCATGCAGGTTGGAGGACAAAGTATGGCCTGGGCATTTCATGTGTGTCCTCAACCAGGCTGTGGCTTTAACACAGAATCGGGGCACCTGCGAGATCAGCTGCTGACCGTGTGTTTTCACCATTTCAGGGCCATAATCATCAGAAATGGAGAAATCATCCCCATGTCTTCGGAATTCACCCCCGAGACCGAGCGCCAGCGGCTTCAGTACCTGGTAAGAGTCACGTGGGCTTGGCCGAGCGCCCTGGCGTCAGGGACGGTGTCGGGGCTGTTTTGGAGGAACATGTTGCTACTGACATGGGAGCAGGCCCGCAGCCGTCAAACGACATATGGTATGAACTCCCCCACACACCTCCTGGATCGCACATCCTGGCTTCGTGTGTGACGCTGCACCCCACCTCCGTGAATTTATTATGGTGGCTGATTTTCTCCCATCTGTGGCCGGTCGAAGCCACGGCATGCTCTGTTTCTTCCAATGGGTTGGTAGGCACGATACGAAATGTGGTGTTGAAGAGTGCAGACACCTTCTTCCTTAGCTTGCCTTGCCCCTTGCGTTGATTTCAACAGAGGGGCTCGGCCTGAATCACATGAGGAGGATGGCAGCCCCGAGATCCTGCTGACACGCCACTTACTTCACACTCAGATACAAGGTCTCTTTGGGAAAGACGCAGGTGTCAGAAAATCTGTCTCTACCCTGAAAATAAATTCTTCATGTAGCTCACTGTCTTTGGGGTAAAATTATGAGAAGGCTGTAGGGGGGCTGTTCGGTTTTTCAGGTCTTGAGAATTGTTGCTTTATTGGAAGGTTTGAGTTTTCTGGAAAACAGGACAGACTTCCCTGCCCCCGAATGACAGGTGTAGGGCATTAGGGTTAGGCGCTCAGTCCGGTGACTTGGGTCATCCTCCTAGATTGCTTTTGGTGGGTCACCTTTGGGGCACCTAACTGTGTGACTAGTTCTGTGGGTGAAACATTTTCTTGGCAGCTGGCTTTCTTTTTAGGCAACATAGCTAACAGCAGTGACCCTCTGCTCTTCGGACAGAATTGATCCAGGCTCCGCAGAGAGGACTTTGTTCATGTGTCTGGATTTCAGCATGTGTGAACGGCCGGGATTTGGTCACTTGGGTCAATTTTGACCCTTTCCCTCAATTTTCTCATCTGTCTTTTTGTTTGTTTTACTCAGTAACTAAGTGGTGTTGTGTTTGGTAGTTATCTGGTACATAAAACAGCAGGAATCCAGAACCAATGTGAAAACATGTCTTCACTCTTTCATGAACTCTTGTTTTCTAACCTTCCTGTTGTTGTTTTCAAGCAGATCCACCTGAAGCCACTCCTAGGAGCCCAGAATTTATTATTTATTTATTTATTTATTTATTTATTTTATCTTATGTTTCATTTTAGAGAGAAGGGGAGGAAGGGAGAAAGAAAGGGAGAGAAACATCAGCGTGAGAGAGAAACATCAATCAGTTCCCTTGCGCACAGACTGGGGACTGAACCTACACCCCAGGAATGTGACCTGACTGGGAATCAAACCAACGACCTTTCGGTTTCAGTCGACACCCGACCAACTGGGCCACACCAGCCAGGGCTAGGAGGCCAGACTTGCGAGCTCTTCGTTTTCTTTGTCAGTTGGAGCAGATGCAAGGGATACTGCAGCATCCATGGAAGGTCTTTATGCTGATCCCAGCTCTGTTACTTGCCATCTGCGTAGCTTTGTGCAAGTCCCTCCGCATTTCCAGACCTCGGTTTGTCACTTATAAAATGGAGAACTAGATTAGAGGGCCACCAGGGGCCTTAGAGCTGCCAGGGTGTCTTCCAAGTAGAGTTCATAACAGCAGCCCCCCTTCCCGCCAGTCTGATTTTCTCCAGTCCGTCTCCCACAAAACCACACAAGTGATCTGATCGCAGCCCTCCTCCCTTCCCTGCCTAAGCGTCTTTGGCTCCCCCAGTGCGCAGAATAGAATGCAGGCCACGCTTGGCAGACCCAGAATCACGGGCCTCTCCCACCTTTCCAGCGTCATCGCGCTGCCGCCCCCACCCACGCTGCCTTGCATCCCAGGCCGCAGCCCGGCCGCAGACCCCTGCCTTCCATCCACAGGGCCCACTGTGATCTCTCCAACCTCCGTCCCTTTGGAAATACACTGTTCCTGGATGACCCTTCTCCTCTTCTCTGCCAGGAAAACTCCTCCTCATTCTTTGAGACCCCAAAGCAACTGTTACTTCCTCTAGGAAGAGTCCCGTAAGTTTCCCAGGGGGTCAGTCCCCAGTGCTCACACAGCACCGTGCAGAGGCCTTCAACATAGAGTATTGTGCTGTTTGTTCCAATCTCGGTTTCCGCTTACAGACTGAGTCCTGGAGGGCAGGCCCCTTACGTCGTCTCCTCATACTGCCCGACGGGGTAGTGAAGCGGCATCTGTTGAGTGACTGAAAGAAGGAACCAGTATTCGTATGGACACCTGGATCATGAGCACACAGTACTCTCCCCTGCACTGTCCCCTGACCCCCGTCACAGCGGGCCCCCGCGCTTTGCCTCCCTGCCTCGATGGCACCCTGCCTTCATCGCCTCCTTGCCCCTTAGTGGAAGCTATTTCCTGTTTCCCTGCTAGAGGCAGTGGGTAAATTACAGGTTCACCTTTTATTTTGAAATGATTTCACATTTTTATGTTACCAGAATGATAGAAAAAACTCAAAAATGTTGACTTTTGAGGTAGGATGGGAATGCTGACATTTTTCAGGCTCCTGAATATCAGTTGTCTATTTTGAGATGGTTGGAATAAGACGTATGTGGCTTCAGATACCAGCTTTGCCACATAACTGTGGCTATGATTTCAACAAGACCCTTTATGGACCCCCAGCTCCTCATTGGCAATGGGTGTAGAAAACCCCATAAGGCAGGTGGAAGGATTAAATGGCATCATGCATGCAGAATTCTTTTGCGGTACCTAGTATTCATCGGGTTATTGTTTGGTGAATCAAAGTCTTGCCACTTCAAATCGTACTGGCCCGCAAAGAACAGTAATATTTTTCTCCCTGTTTTTACTTAATAATCACCCTGTCCTGACCAGTGTGACTCACTTGGTTGAGTATCATCCCACAAAGTGAAAGGTCACTGTTTCAGTTCCTGGTCAGGGCACATGCCTAGGCTGCAGGCCAGGGCCCCCCGCCCTGCCCCCACCCCTGGTCAGGGAGCATTCGAGAGGTAACCTGTTGATCCATATTCCTCTCACACATTCCTCTCTTTCTCCCTTCTTTCCCCTCTCTCTCAAAATAAATAAAATCTTGGGGGGGGGGGGATCACTCTTATTGTTCCTAAGATTAATATGTATCACTTTTGAACAGTGTGGACACTCTTAGTCCTCAGAACTGAGCCTAATGTCTGAATTTCTAAAAGGTTAATAACACCGTCCCCATTCTTTTTAATCCTTATTCCTCAATAATGTACATTTCCCTGTAACTAAAACTTTTCTCCCCAGATAACAGGAGTGTATATGAACAGAACATAAAATATCCTGGTTGTCGAACTTCCTATCCTGTTAGGAGTCTTAAGAGTGTATGCTTTGAAATGAACAAATCCAGTGATAATATTCACAGGACTGATGAGACAGATCCCTGTGGGGGATTTGAATCAGGGGATTTATGGCATAAAATAACCTTGTGGCAAAATCTTCACAGTAAAGTGTTGAGAGAATTAGAACTTTTTAAGGTAAAATCTTGAAAGTAATTTCAACTAAAAGGAAACAGAAGCGTGATGTGGATGTTTCTCAGCCCAGCCTGGGCTCTGCGACCTCAGGCACCACTCACGGCATCTGAGTCTCCTTGCTCCTGAGTGACATGTTAGGAGAACTTCTCTTGAGATAGTCATTATATGTCCTGAAATTGAAGTGACAAGTAATCTCATTGTGATATAAAATATAGTATACATCTTACAATTTCGAGTGCATCTCATTTTGCCAGTTCATTTTTTTAAAAATAATTTCCCTGAACTAATTGTGAAACCATTTAGCGTAGGGATAGTTGTATCCTTTACATGATTTAAACGAGTTAGTACGTAGCTGGGAAGTTAACAATGTATTCTTTATTCTGAGGTCAAATTAAATTTTATTTTTACGATGTGTGAAGAAATGTTTATGATAGAATTACTAAAACTTTCAGGTCCTTCAAGACTTGATTTGAGCAGCTGTCTACAGTCCCAGGACTGTTTGACTTGTAGAAATGGTTAATGATTTTCTTGGAGGTAGGGAGGGCTGAGAGCCCTTTGTACATGAACGATTTCGATCTGTGTGGAAGAGGAATGTTCTTGGTATGCACGGTCTGGATTTGGGGGGATTATAGAACTGGAAGCAGATTACAGGATGATGGATGTGGCAGGCACATTAATTTTGTTTGGTCTTGCATCCTGACCTCGGGGGGCTCTGCCTACAGCTCTCAGGGTAACGTGAACTTGGTTCCGTAGATTCTTGGGCAGGGTGATTAATCAAGCCGGCCTGCGGGTTTGACATGGTCACGCAGAGCGTGGCAGGTGTGTGATGAAGGGGTCAGGGGCTGTGCCTTCCGCCCCAGCGGCTAGGGAGATCTGAGCATCCTGTAGTCATGAATAAGCCTTGCTCTTCTGTTGCTGGGCTTCCCCCCGCCCACCCGCCCGCCTGCCCGCCCGCCGCCAGTGTTTCCAGGGTAATTGAAATAAAACATTTAAGGGGGCCCACCAAACTAGACAGAATGTTTTGATGGAGTCAAGGCCCAGGTAGGAGGGACAGCGATCTGGTCTGTGAGCATTTCTCAGCGGAGTTTACTGCTGCGGCCTCCGGGAAGCCACCCCCACCTTTGCTTTCAGTGACAACCAGGAATGAGCCCCACAGAGGGGCACCTCTCTAGCCGGTAGGTGTGAGCATGGTAGCTTCCCTCCCATTCTGCTAGACACATTTTAACCTCTGACTTGATTACATTAAGATGTGCTGGTATCATCAAACCTTCAAATAATGTACTTCTGTCCTTGTGGATACTCCAACTCTGCAGCTGTTTTTTTAATCAGGGGCGAAACACAGAAGAGAGAAAAGTGGGTTTCAAATACACATGTGAGACACATAAGTGCAACGTTATCTGAGGCGATGTCTTGTGGTGTCCTTGGACCTTCCCCCGGCCTCCTGCACCAAGTCTTGTTCTGATTGCCTAACGTTTCCCTGGTGCTGGACTTGGCAAGTTTCAAGAGTTATCTTCCCA